TCCAGACGGAGATACACAGAAGCAGCTGGAAACAATGAACCCGGGATACAGGGAAGAAACCCCCTGGGAAATACAGAGTCATGCGCGTCACCAAGTATTGGTGGATGAACTTAACCAAGAAGAGTATAAAACTGGAGTCCTTAGCCTAAGGACTTCCGCGGTGTGACCGTTCACTGTGGGGTATCCTCTTGACTGGAGTGAGACGTGCCCAGCAAAGCTAAACTCAGTTCTGGGTGCGTCTGTGGGTGACCGAGATATGGGCTAGCAGAGGGAGAGAGGCCACTCCGGTTACGGCTGGCCCCAGTCAGCAGCCTGCAGCCTGCCTGGAGAGAGGTGGAAAGAAGGAAGTGTGTCCTTCTGTTTGAACTCTGGTTTTCTTGAGTGGGTGTGGCCTTTGCTGCAGTCACCTCTGGACATGGGTCTCCAGTATCCACGCTGCCAACACAGCTTCGCAGCAGTTTCTTTCCAGTGAGCCTCCAGGCCTTCAGCTTGGACTGGAGCTGCATCCTTGGTCTCTCTGTGCCGCAGGTACCATCTTCTTGGGCTGAACAGCTGCTGGGTCCTCCAGCTGTTCAGCGTGGTCATGGCCACTGCAGACTCGCCTGCCCCGATCCTGTAAGCTACCTAAGGAACCCCTTGCATAATCATATATATATTTTCTATTGATTCTGTTCCTTTTGACTAATATAAGGGGCATTTAAGAATCCACAGAAATTGTGGGTAAAATTCTGTACATGTATGTGTCAGTAATTCTGAGGTAGGGATCCGTAAGTTTCAACAGAGTCTCAAGTAAATTCCTAAGTCCAAAAGGGTTAAGAATCTATAGAGGAAAAAAAAAAAAAAAAGAAGGAGGAAGGAGAAGGCCGAGGTGTAACCTGGAGAACACCACTTACTGCCAATGCCATACTTTTGGGACTAGGGTTATGGTAGGAAGGAGTTCGCAAAACAACATTTCACTTCCAATTTACCACTTGAGTCACAGCAGCCTTGAGACACATGACTTTATATTCAGAATGTGCTGAGATATTATTGCTTCTGGAAAACTAGCAGTTTTAGGCCTAGATACTAAGATTGAGATTCTACACTCCCATTCAAAATGTATTTTTTCTCCTCCTGTTTCCACACTACAAACAAGGGAACAAATTCTCCTGTCACATTTTCTCCGGAGCCCTTCTCTGACAGTCAACAATCCCTTTCCAAGTATCCTTTTATGACACCCCATGTTCTTTTATGCTGGATGCATAAGTACCGGAATTACGACAGGCACAGGCATGTGGGAAGGTGCACACGTGCACACACACACGTGTGCGCACACACGTAGAGCTCAGAAGGTATATCAGATTTGGGTTGAAACAGACAGAATTGGTTAGAAAGTATATGAAAGCCAATCTAAAAATAAGATATCACTCCATAAGCATTATGCAATTATATTTTATATTATCTTTTCTTCCTCAAAGTTATGTCACTTTGGAGACAGAGGAGAAAGAAAGATTTTCTTCCACTGTACATCTTGAAACCCTTTCAAAAGCCACAATGTTTATGTGTTTTCATTACAGGGATTCAAAGCACACCATTCATGCCAAGCTATCACTCAAGAAAGCCAAGAATAATCTAGCCAAGCCAACTTGTATATGAGAAAACTGTAATGTCTACTGTCCCTGGAAACCTCAGAATATCATTTACATATGTCTCTTGGTTTGTGACAAACCTCAGAATTCTGCAAAGAAGAAAGCTATAAAATACCAATTACAAAGAGATAATCAAAGGCTATGAAGATAGAATGCTAGGCTGATTTTTGTTTCACTTTTACCAAAGTATACTTCACAAAACTTCACATTTTTACTATTTTTTTTTTTTTTAGGCTAGTCAAGTGAAGCAGTGGGAGTGGAGAAGTAATAAAGAAATCTGTTACTGGTTGTGATCAATTATTTGTAAACACCACTGCACTTGGACCAGCCAAAACTTCACATTTTTAAAAAAAATTTTTTTGGTACCAGGGATTGAACTCACAACCTTGCGTTTGCCAAGCAGGCACTTACACCACTGAGCTAAACCCCCAGCATACTTCACAAAACTTCAATGCACATAAAACTTTCAAAGCTTAAGAGACAATTCATAAAATAATATATACATACTACTAATAATAAATAAACGGAAATGTTCAATTGTGCTAACCAATGAATCCTGCTTTTTTTTTTTTTTTTGGTAGTAGGGATTGAACTCACAACCTGTGCTTGCCACACAGGTGCTTGTGCCACTGAGCTATATCCCTGGTTTCAATGAAATCTATTAAAATTAGAAAAATCTAAAGTAAAATCACCTCAGTAGTTCTATGTTGGTAGTTTTTTTGTTTTTGTTTTTTTTGGTATTGGGGTCGAACTCATAGCCTTGTACTTGTCAGGCAGGCACTTACGCCACTGAGCCAAATCCCATATGCTGGTAATTCTAAAGTATTTTTCATATTATTCACATATATAAAGCAATTTAGTATAGTATGTACAAAGATGTTCACTGTAGCATAATCTGTTAAAGAAAAAACTGAATGGACAACAAAAAATATAAAATTAATGACAGAATATCCACTACAGAAACATATTGTTTGTTCATGTTTTCATTAACTACTATGCTTCAGAAAATATTTAAACCAGGCGTGGTAGAATACACCTGTAATCCCAGCACTTGGGAGGCTGAGACAGGCGGATTACCCCGAGCTCAAGACCTGGCTTGGCTACATAGTGAGTACAAGGCCCATCTGAATTACACAGCGAGACCTTGTCTCAAAAGACCACATCAAAAAAAAAAAAAAAAAAGGATTTAAAATAGCACCTATGATTACACATTGCATAAACATGAACATTCTATAATACAATATATTACATAACAGAATGCAGAGAAAGGAGAACACATCAAAATACTACAGAATGTATAGGGTGGTAACATCATAGGTGATCTTTATTCTCTTACGTTTTTTAGTTATGTAAGGTTACATGGTGAACCTATATTTAAAATAATATTTTTATAATAAGATTTTTTCTTTTTTTAGTACCAGGGATTGAATACACGACTTCATGCTTACCAAACATGTGCTTGTGCCGCTGAGCTAAACCCTTGGCCCAAGAAATATATATAACAATGTATATAACATATGTAATAGATATGAAAAATATAAAAAGAGATCATTAAAATATAAAATCTTTGCCTTCCTGCGACCATTTCTAGTAAGCCAGCTCTTTCTGTATGTATTCCCATGAATAACGAACTGAAAAAGGGAAATGGATGTGATACCTAAGAGAAAGGAATCCATAGCAATTAACCTGATCCAATAAATTTGTCATAAGTTTGTCAATTAAAAGTATCAAAAGATTTGAAGAAAACAAGACATTATAATAGCTAGGGATGATTTAATATCTTGTTTTGAAGCCCCACCAAGCTTTTTTTTTTTTTGCTTTTTTCGTTTTTTACCGGTACCAGGGATCGAACTCACGACTGCCTGCTTTTTGAGGCAGGTGCTTATGCCGCTGAGCTAAACCCCCAGCCCCAATCCCCAGCTTTTATTCTTCTGTCTCCATCAGTTTTATCATGTTGTATCTTACTGGATTTTATTATATATGATAGCATAAACAAAAATTTTTTATAGATAAGGAGATAATATAGAAACCACTGTTCATTTTCTGTTAGTTGGTTCTGAATACCTTGTAATACTTTCATTCTCTTGAATGGTTTTACACTGTCTTTTTATGTTTGATACTATAGTATATGAAGGTATACTCAGATATTTCAAGGAAAGAGACACTATGGAAGCTACTATTATGTTGGGTTGTCCTGTGGTGAAACACTATGTTGCTTAAACTGTTCTGTTCTGACTTGTGTTGTTATGTCCTCTTTTATCTTAATCTTTAAAAAAAAAAAAAAAAGCATCAAAAGATGAGGGGCCAGGGATACAGCTCAGTGGCACAGCACCTGCCTGGCAAGTGTAAGGTCTTGAGTTAGATTCCCCATACCCACAAAAATAAATAAATAAATAAAAATAAATTTTAAAAGTTTCAAAAGAAAAACAGATGATAGAGGTTGTAGAGAATGAAGGACACTGATATAAATGAGTATTGGAGAAAGCCAAGGCATTTTAATTTGGAAGTCAAACAGCCTCTTACCGAATTTATGGTCAACGGTTATCTTGCTTCGATTTTTGTTCCAAAAAAAGTATACAGAGAAACAGGAAGCAGGATGGTGGCTGCTCGGGCTGGGGCCACAGGCATGGGACCCAGGGGTTAATGAGTATGGAAGGTTAACTTGGGCACATGAAAAAGGTGCTGGTGATGTCGGTGGCAACAGGCACAGGACAGTGTGAATGCACTTAATGCCCTCAACTGTACACTTAGAAATTGTTACAATGGGAAAAGGATGCTATGTACTTCTTACCACAATGAAAAAATTAAAGAAGGTAGGAGTCTGATATGAGATACGGTAAACCCACAGGGCATTTATTTAGATTGGCTCATTGGGTTTTCAGCATTTCTAAAACAATAGTTTAAAAAGATACGAGCTCAATATATACAAAGAAAAATGTCAGTTTCACTTAAACAGCAGCTCTCTCTCTCAATCAGAGGGCCAGAACAGCATGCGTGTCCCATTGTTTTTCTCATGAAGCTAATGTTGCCTTCAGGTATCTGGAAAAGTGGCTCTTAGATTTAAAGGAAAAAGAAACTGGAAGTAAAGTCACTAATGCTTCTGGTGTATATGCAAATTTGTGGCCATGGATCTAGGAATAAATCTCCCAACTGTGAGTACCATTCCTAGATGCTGGGCATCGTTCTTAGAAATTCGGCAACAGACATAGAGAAATGTCCCCACTGTTCTTGGAAAGAGCCAGAATTATCCTGATAACAAAGCATCCCACAGATAGAAATATGCTAATTTAAAATAATTTCCCTATCATAAAAATGCAAGAAAAAACCAGCCAGGGCCAGATCTTTCATAGTCACTTTGAAAATCTCACTTACCCTTCTAGTGTTTTCAAGGATTTTGGGGTCAGGTTTCCCATAGTTAGGTGGATTGGCGTATGGGTCATATCCGAGCTTGGCAAGCATGGGCGCGATCACGGCCATGTCTTGGAGGACGTCAGGTGGTATCTTCCCCACCCATTTGGACAGAGCTCCCACGTTGACAGGCTTGATGACCTGGTCTGTAGATCGCTCTACTCTGAAAACAACATAAGCAAATACTTAGCATTTCTCAAGTGGTGTTAAAAATCCTCTGTAAATTACTTGCAATAATTTTTAAAATTAGAATTGTCTGGACTATAAAGAAGCTGCGAAATAGGGCACTAATAAGGTTCCACACTATTTACCAGGCTTTTTAAAGGATATTTTAAGTTTGACAGTGATTATTGGCAACCTCAGGTTTCTAGAAGAAAAAGGGCCAGCTGAAAACATCTGGAAAAAATGTGGTAACACATTAATTATAACATTCAGGAAAAAAAGAAAAAGCCAATTAGAAAAACTGCCTGTCAACTTACTAAAAACACATTTAAAGAAAGATGGATGGATGGACAGATACGCAGTGACGCAAAAATGTTAACTGCAGATGGGAGCTGGTGGGTATAACCTTCAGTTCTGTGTGTTTGAAATTTTTCATGAGAAAGCCCTGGAGGGAAAATGGCCAACTATAAATCACTAAGAATGCAAATATTCACTTGTTCTACTTTTCTGTTGACAACTCAAAGAATCTTATTTTTCCACAGGAGAAACAAGTGCTGTTCATGATTTTCTACATTACCAGTCTCAACACCGTTAGACAGATGCATTCTACATCTTGACCTAGAAACTTGACAGTACTTTTCACCAGTGGTGCTTATACGCACTGTTTGATCAATAAGCAGTAATCTTAGGATAAAATACAAACTAAATGACATCTGGATTTAAATTGGCCTGGATTAGATTTTGCTCAAATGACTATAAAATGTGAGGTGACCCACAGGGAGTAGCTCTTAACCTAACAGAAGTTAAAAGTCCCTTGCCGTTAGGTGTTTGACCTCTCACTGCAGATAACCATAACCAGTGAGGATTCTTTCAGAAGGGTTTCACTCCTCAAACAACAGGAAGCAAAAATAAGACGGCTCTTCTGTGGGACCCCGCGGGCACCCACACTCTCCCGCCTCGACCTATCCTCTGTCAAGGAGCCCAACGCTTCCTTGACACTGTACACCGGCCCCTGCGTGGCTCCACTGGGATGATCCTGCTTTGATGCTCTTTAACGCTTCTGTGGAAAGAACACTCTGGCCTGCTCAGTAACAGCACCTCCAGTCCCCACCCACGGCTGCATCATGAATCCCATGTACGCCCCCCGGGGGAACATGTGCCCCTTGAGACCAGGATGGCCCACTCTCAGTCAACACACTGTCACCACCCACAAGGCAAAGCCGGAGGCTAGGACAGGACAAGGAAAATTCGAGATCACTCCTATGTTCGTCAGTTTACACACTATCCTGTGCTTTAAGGAGGACCTTTTCTCCATTCCCTTTGTCTTCACTTAGTTACTATTATCATTGTTTCTCACTTAGGTCCCTACAAAGCCACCTCTTTTCCCTGCTGGGTTCCTTGTCCATTTAACTTGTCATCCTACTAGATTATACAATACTTAGTACATTAATATACTATACTTAGTACAGTAGTACTTAGTACATTAATATAATATTTATATAATAAATGTTGATTAAGTGAATAACTAAAAGCTTTCTTGGAGAAGCAGAAGAGGAGGAGGTGGATAGAAGGGGGAGAAAGAAAGAATAAAGCAGCAGCAGCACTCTGGGAGGCTGAGGCAGGCGGACTGCAAGTGTGAACCCAGCTTGGGAACTTAGTCACTAAAGAAGACTCTGTCTCAGATTTTTTTTTTTTTTTTTTTTTTTTTTGGTCTTTTTTGAGGCAGGGCTTCACTATATGGTTTAGGCTGGCCTTGACCTCACTTTGTAGACCATGCTGGCCTCACACTCACAGCAATTCTCCTGCCTCAGCCTCTCAAGTGTTGGGATTACAGGTTTGTGACACCACACCCAGTTTTCAAAATGTTTTTTTAAAAGTTGGGAATGTGGCTCGTTGTGAAGGCCCTGGGGTTCAGCCCCACTACCATGAGAAAATACAACACAAACCAAAAAACATGTTATAGTAGTTTACATGAACATGCTGAAGAAAAGTCAAATATTAATTTTTTTTCCTTTGAGGCAGGTCTTACAATGTAGCTTGGTCTAGCCTTGAACTTGCAAGGCGACAGGGTTCCAGCTGTGTACCACCGTGCCTGCCCTCAAGTACTATGTGTTTACACAACCACGTCTAATGAACTTGTAGGATTAAACAGCCTGAGAACATCCAGGTGCCACACTGTGGATTTACTGTATGTACATTAGGAATTTTAGAAAACAGGTCTTGTGTCTGGAGAGATTAAAAACCTCCAGAAAAAGCTGAGTATGGTAGCACACGTCTGCAGTCCCAGTACTCAGAAGGCTGAGGCAGGAGGATCACTGTGGGTTCAAGACCAGCCTGGGTTACAATGTGAGCTCAAGGTCAGCCTGAACTGCATAGCAAGACCCTGTCTCAGAAAAGACAAAACAAAAAATGAAAAACTCTCTAGAAAAAATAAAGGCTTAGGGTAAACATTTTCTGCATTTATGCTGGGTAATTCTCATGTATCTAATTTAATTAATTAACTAATTAATTTTTTTATACTGGGGATTGAACTCACGACCACATGCTTGCAAGGCAGGCACTTATGCCACTAAGCTAAATTCCCAGCCCTCTAATTGAATTCTTACAGTAACCTTAGGATAGAGGTCATTAGTTCTCTTGGTGCAGGGTGTACTGCAGTTAGTTCTTAATTTTCTTTCTCTCTCTCTCTTTTCTTGTTTGGCTTTTTGAGACAGGATCTCACTAAGTAATCCAGGCAGGCCTCGAGTTCCCAGTGATCTTCCTGCCTCTGCCCCCTGAGTCCTGGGATTACAGGTGTGCACCACCACACCTGGCCTAGTTCTTAATTCTGAAACAGATGAACTGCAGCCTAGAGAAAGGCAATGATTTGCCTACAGTTACACACTCTGAAAATAACAGAATTTAAGCCCAGGTCCATCTGACGTCAAAGCTGCTGCTTTTCCCAGTCTCTTATTGCCATCCTGCTGATCACACTGACTCTTACATTCTGTGCTTCCCTGTAAACAGTCTCCTTTTGCTGTACACGGCAAGACGAGCTGGTTCATCATGATGAGAAAAACCTACCGATGCACCGAGCACGTCACAGGTATCCAGAGAAGAGCAGTCATGAGGGTTACCGCCTGTGCTCCAGAGAGAAAACACTGCAGGACTTACAGCGTTTCCCTGCATCCATGATACAAAACTTCTCCTATGACAGATTTCGAGACACTGACATGCCACTGCTCACTGCTGGCCAGCTCGTGCAGCCCACTCGAGATGGGTGAGGGTGCAGCCTCGTCCCAAATGCTGAAATCCGAAATTCTCCGACATAAACTTTCTCCTGTAACTCATTCGGCTGCAAAAACAGATGTGAACCCAAAGCAATCTATTTTCAGTCCTCCTCCCAGTGGACACAAGTGGGTGTACCCTTTGACACAGAGATGTAGATGTGCTCGGCTACGGAGTACAGACCGAGGAAGCGGAGAACAGCGCATGCGTGTCACCCACACCACATTACTGCACCTTTCTAGAATCCAAATGGTGCTGAAGTATGAAACCCACTGGGGTAAGCACTGAGGCCTCACACGGAGTCTCTTATGTTGTGAGTAGGATGCTGGCTTTACCCAGGACACGAGGAAGAGTAATCAGCAAGGTCTCTTGTGAATCAGCAGATTCCCCCTCCAGTCCCGGCCGCCCACACCCTTCTCCCTGCAGCAGTCACAGTGACAGTAGCTTCACCTCAAGGACCAGGGTCAACGTCAAAGTCTTCAAAGACCAAGGTGCATAGAATCCTTCAAGACACTCGTTTTGAGCACGGATCTTCCACAACTAAACACAACAGCCAGGCTGTGAGCCAAACCACAGGTCCAGATAACGATGCGTTGCACCTGCTACAGGAAACTGAACCCTCTGGATCAGAGCATCGGGGCTGGGGTAGACATGGGAAGGAAGGAGTGCAGCTACAGAATCCCAGGGGCTGGATTTGTTACAGTGAGATGTTTGATGAGATGGCGTTAAAAATCACGCTGCCAGTGTAGGAACAATAGAGATTCAGTTTTGTTACAATGTGTTACACATGCTGTATACAGATACAGACACACAACACATGCACGCTCACACACTCATGTCAGCATACGGACGGTGCAAGTAGCGGAAGAAAGTGTGGTTTTTATTTTCTATGATAAAAAATGCCTTTTTCTTTTTCATCACGCAATAATGACACTCACAGGATCACAAGGGAAATCTTCACTCAGAAGCCCAGTAACTATCTCGAACTCAACAAAATCCAAACCAAACTCCTAATCTGAGCCTCCCATATACTACATCTGCAATGAAATCTGGGTGGAAACAACTCTATTCTTTTGGCTAGAATGTTTTGTTTGTTTTGTAATGTTGGGAATGAAACTGAGGACCTTCCAACTGAGCTACATCTCTACCCCTTTTTATTTTTTGAGACAGGGTCTTACTGAGTCACTACATTGCCTTGGCTGGGCTTGAACTTGTGATCCTCCTGCCTCAGCCTCCCAGAGCACTGGGGATGCAGAATTCAGAACCAGACCAAATGGAGACATGGCACCAGAGAAGGCAGCTTTATCACACTAGTGGGCTGACGGAATCTCAGTTTCAATCATCAACAGTGATTGGAGTTTTCCAATCAGTTATATGTTTCCAAAAGGAAGTACAAAAGGCAGATAACATAATATCCTATAGTTGATCTTTATCAATTGCTAAGCAGAATCTACTCTTACAGAAACAGCAACTAAATGAGGTTATTATCGTATGACATAGAGGAACAACTCATCATTGTCTGAGACTGGGCAGAGGTGTCCTTGCAGTGGGAACTCTCTGGGACCTGGAAGCAAGAGAAACATTTCTTCCTGGCCAAGCGACCCTTATCTTGCAGTTGGCACCTGGAGCCTCAAAGCTCGTCAAATTTGAAGCTTTCTTTTTTTTCTTTTTCGTTTTTATCGGTACCAGGGATTGAACTCACGACTACCTGCTTGCAAGGCAGGCACTTATGCC